CTTGTGCTCTCTACCTCAAAGTAAATAAATAATTTTTAAATAAAACAGGATGGGGTTTTTCTTTACAAAATTTTAGACTTAGAGAAAAGTTCCAACAGTAATACAAAGAATTCCCATCACCTTTCACTCACATTCCCCATGTTAACATTTTTCTATATTTATTTTGTCTTTCTTAATATTTCACTCTTCTTTGTCCATCTATATAGGTCCTAAAAATAAGAAATTCTCTGAATAGCCACAGTAAAATGATCAAAATCAGGGAATTTATGTTGAAAGGGTATTATTCTGTAATCTACAGACTTGGCCCCAATTTCATCAAGCCGTTCTAATGTTCTTTATGGCAAAAATACAAACAAGATTATATATCGCATTTTGGCTGTTAAATCTCTTCACTCTCCTTTGATCACTTTGATCCCTTTGATCTGAAACAATATTTGAAGAATATAGGACCGGTACGTTCTAGAATGCCCCTCAGTTTGGGTCAGTCTGGTATTTCCTCATGATTTGACACAGGATCTTTGGCACAAATACCATACAGCCATGTTGCTGAGTGCTTGTCAGTGAAGGAAGCACAATGCTTTTAATTAGTCCCACTACTAGCAATAGTAACTTTGAAACTTTTTTTTAAGTTTATTTATTTAGAGAGAGAGAGCACACGCAGGGGAGGAACAGAGAGAGAAGGAGCGAGAGACAGAATGCCAAGCAGGCTCTGAACTTTCAGCACAGAACCCTACGTGGGGCTTGAACCCACGAACCATGAGATCATGACCTGAGCCAGAGTCAAGAGTCAGACACTCAACTGACTGAGCCACCGAGGCACCCCAATAGTAACTTTGATAATAGTATCTTTCAGGTTGCTCCCCTGTAAAATTACTCTTTTACATTTTGTAATTAATAAAGTATCCTGTGGGGAGCTACTCTGAGATTCTACAAATACCCTGTCACTCTTCAAACTTTTACCCACTAGTAACTACCTTTTGATGGTTCTTGCTTCAATCAGTAATCATGATGATAACTGCCAAATGGTGATTTCTCATGCTAGAATTTCTTCTACATTTATTAATTGGTTTTCTACTCACATAACAGTTTTTCCTTCTCTCTCTTCATTTACTTATTACTTACATCAGAGACTCATGAATTCTTACTTTATTCAATAGCAAAATAGTATTTTGATTGCACATCCCAGGTAGGATATGGCATAAGGACAAAAAGAACCGCAAAGAAATCGTGAACAGCATATGGTGGTTTTGTTGTTACTGGCAATGTAGGTACTTTTATACACACACCCTAGGGGATAACGCAGATGAGTAATTATGTTAATGTCATTAGGTACCAATGTTACTTGACAAAATCAAAGAA